ACACGTGTGTGCAACCCCGCGTCCAGCCCTTACACACGTGCATCCCGTGTGCATCCCCTACACACGTGCACGGCGTGTGTCCCTCCTGTACACGTGTCCTCTACACGTGTGCATTTCTGCGTCCAGCCCCTACATGTGTCCATGCCCCACGTGCATCCCCTACGTGTGTCCATCCCGTGTGCATCCCCTACACACGTGCACCCCCTACATGCGTGTCCATCCTCCCGTGCGTGCCCTACACGCGTCCATCCCGGTGTCTATCCCCTACACGTGTGCGTGTCCCATGTCTGTCCCCTCCACATGTCTATACGCGGTGTGCGCCCCTACACGTGTCCATCCCTGCATCCCCATGTGCCCCGACACACGCGTATGCCCTCCCCAGAAAGTGCTGGAGAAGCTGAAGACGAACATATCCAACACCACCAAAGACACCAAGATGCTGCTGCAGAGCACCGAAATCCTCGTGCTGCAGGCGGCCCTCAAAGACCCTGGCTTCAGCTCCCAAAAGTTCAACACCTCCATCATGGGTACACCAGCACCCATGGGTGCCCCCAAGGCCCCCCTGAACCCTTGCAACACCCCCAAAAGCCTTGCAACACCCCAAGAACCAGCTTGGTGGCATCACTGCATCCCTTCCCCGGGCTCTGCAAGAGCACAGTGGCACCCAGGGCAGGTAAAAGACCCTCAAAAGGCCTTTTTTTCACCCCAAATCAGACGCCACGGTGGCGGTGGTGAATGACACCTGCTCCCAGACCACGCTGGAGCTGGCGGTGGGTGACAACCGCCTAGCCATCAGCTGTGACGAGGTGGTGAGCAATGACACGACAGGTACGGCCGCCACGCTGCTGCGAAAACCAAAAAAACTCCCCCAAAAAAACCCCAAATTTGGTATTTTTGGGGTGATTTTTGACCCAAGTTCTCTGGGCAGGCAAGAGCGCAGTGGCCCTCATCGTCTACAAGGAGATGGAGGATTTGCTGTATCCATGGAACTGCTCCGGGAACTGCACCACGGAATTGCAGCAGGGAAAGCTCAACTCCCACGTGGTCAGCGGCACCATGGTGAAAGCCGGCTTCGCCTTCAATGTCACCTTCAACATCACCGTCAACCTCACCCTGCAGCACCGCACGGTGGGTGCTGGGGGGCTGTAGTGGGTGCAGGGGGTGGGGATTTGCACGAGGAAGGGCACCAGGGTTTGTCGCATCAAGGGCGTGGGAGCAAATTACGGTGGGGTTGGCAACGGGCATCACCACGGTGCAAATTTGGAGCGCGGTGATGGTGAATTTTGGGGTGAATCCCTATCCCGGGGCAAATTTGGGGTTGGTGCGTTCCTGTTGCGGTGCAAATTTGGATTCTGTGCAGATTTGGGGTCAGTGCATCCCCGTTCTGGTGCACATTTGGCTCCTGTGCAAATTTGGGGTTGGTGCATCCCCATTCTGGTGCAAATTTGGTCCCTATGCAAATTTGGGGTTGGTGCATCCCTGTTCCAGTGCAAATTTGGATTTGGTGCATCCCTGTCTTGGTACAAACCTGGATCCAGTGTAAATCCAGACTTTGTGCATCCCCATCCCGGTGCAAATTTGGATTTGGTGCATCCCCATCCCGGTGCCGATTTGGAGCATCCCCGCCCTGATACAAATCCGGATTTGGCGCATCCCCACCCTGATGCAAATTTGGATTTGGTGCATCCCCATCCCGGTGCCAATTCGGATTTGGCGCATCCCCACCCTGATGCAAATTTGGATTTGGTGCACCTCCACCCTGGTGCTAATTTGAATTTGGTGTATCCCTGTCCTGGTGCAAGATCCAGCTCATCCCCATGCTGGTGCAAATTTGGATCCAGTGCAAACTGGGATTCAGTGCATTCCCATCCCAGTGCAAATTTGGATCTGACGCATCCCTGACCTGGTGTAAATTCAGATTCCATGCAAATTTGGGGTAGGTGCATCCCTGTCTCGGTGCAAATTTGGTTTTAGTGCATCTCTATCCCAGTGGGAATCAATATGCTGTGCAAATTCACGGTTGGTGCATCTCCAACCTGGTGCAAATCCAGATCCCGTGCAAATTTGGCACTGCTGCATCCCCATCTCGGTGCAAATTTGCAATCAGTGCCTCCCAATCCTGGTGCAAATTTGGATCCTGTGCAAATCTGGGGCTGGTGCATCTGCATTCTGGTGCAAATTTGGGTTTGGTGCATCTCCATCCTGGTGGAAATTTAGTTCCCATGCAAATTCAGGGTCGGCACATCCCCATCACAGTGCAAATTTGGATCTGATGAATCCCTCACCTGGTGTAAATTTGGATCCTATGTAAATTTGGGGCTGGTGCATCCCTGTCTCGGTGCAAATTTGGTTTTGATGCATCTCCATCCTGGTGCAAATCTGGATCCTCTGCAAATTTGGGGTCGGTGCATCCCCATCACGCTGCAAATCTGGATTCAGTGCACCCCACTCCTGGGGCAAATTTGGATCGGGTGCAAATTCGGGGTCGGTGCATCCCCGTCACGCTGCAATTCAAGCTCAGCACATCCCCGTCCCGTTCCGCACCCAAACCACCGGCGGGAAGGGGCGGCGCGGCCGCGGGACATGTCTCGAGCGGGCTGCGCTCAGCAGGCGCTACGGGCGGGCGAGGAGCCGCGCTGCGTGACCTGGCCGACGAAGGGTACCAAAGACCACCAGATGCTCTTGGGCTGCACCCGCGTCGGGGGTGACGCCTTCTACTCCATCTGCACCTGCACCCACTTCTCCGCCTTTGCCATCCTCACGGCCACCTACCCCATCAAGGTAAGACCCCGTTTGCACCCTTAAAATACCCATTTTGGGGGTGTTTTCTTCCTTCCCAAACGGCTGCATGCGGCCACGTGCTGGCTGGGACTCGCGTGATGTCGTGTGTGACATCACCCGCAGGAGAACTTCGCGCTGACGGTGGTGACCTATGTGGGGATGTCGGTGTCGCTGGTCTGCCTCTTCCTCGCCATCGTCACCTTCCTCCTGTGCCGCTCGCTCTGGACTGTCAGCGTCGCTCTCCACCTGCAGCTCAGCATCTGCCTCTTCGCTGCCAACCTCCTCTTCCTTGTGGCCGTGACCCGCACTGCCAACAAGGTATGGGCTCCTCGGGGTCTCCCTGAGCATCTCGGGACCTTCAGGGGCTCCTCAGGGGTCTCCTTGAGCCTTCTTGGGGTCTCCACAGCCTCCTCAGGGCCTCCTTCAGCATCTTGGAGCCATCAGGGGCTCCTCGGCATGTCTTTTTGCTCCTCTGGGTCTCCAAAAGGTCTTTGGGGCCTCCTCAAGCTCTCCAGGAGCTCCTTGAGGTCCTTGGGGAG